TATATATATATATATATGATATCACACCATTTAATTAAAATTGTAAAAAAAAAAAATAATAATAATTTTTAAGATTAAGAAATTAATTTTATATTAATTTTTTTATCATATTTACTAAATTGTATAATTTTAAAATAAATACTCAACATAAAAAACAAACAAAGGGTAGAATTTGCATGAACCGACTGTTACACAACGAGTACACTCGTTTATCCATCCATCCATCCATCCATCTATCTATTGATTGATATATAGATATTATTTAATGCAGACTCATTTTTGTGAATTATTTACCTTGAAAAGTGTGCCTGTGGTATCTTTCTGTGAAATAAAGAACACTCGCTCTGATGTTTTCTTATCAGTGACATTCCTATACATTTAATTGTGACCTAAATGTCCAAATACCTTTACCAAGTAGTCATTCATAAATACTTTTACTACTGATAAATACTGCATCATTATTCAGAGGCAATCTTTATTTGTAACGGTTGATGTTACCTGATAAACAATCAGCATTCACCATCCATTTTAATTGCATTAATTCCATTAAAGTGCAGTAGATAAGTTGATTGCAGCTAGTTTGCGTTCATACTATTCCGGCCCTGCACTACTAAACTCACAGTGTCCCACTTTCTCATCACCGTGTGCTTCGCACGCAAATGTGCTCGTCATAATCAGCTCTTATTTCAGCTCACAAGAGAGACTTTGATTGGGATAATAGGCAGATTAGAGTTGTTGAACACAGCTCTGTGGAGCGGCGCATACGAGAGAAGAGCAAAATGAGGGCCGTAGAGTTGGCGTGGAGAGCATTGTCTCTCTTTGGCATAGCGGAGAACACGAGTTCCTGTGAAATGTCCTCGCTCCTGAACAAGAACGGAGGTGTTTCATTTGGAAGAGGTTATGGAGAGGGCTGGAGATCAGTGTGTGTTGTTTGGGGGAGGAGCTCTATGCTTAGGGGATGAGGGAGGAATGGGGAGGCGGAGTTGCAGTGTAATTTTTTTCTGTGTCTCTAGAGATTGTTGCAAGTGAGATGGTCGTTAATTAGGACAGAGGTCTTGGGGGAAGATATGTCTGAGGCGCTGAGATGTAAAATGTAATTAAAAAGGAAATATAAGCTGTGTGTTTGTGTGTGTGTGTTCTTATGAGGATGTATATTGGGGTGTGTGTGCAAGCACAAGTGTACCATGCTTGGACAAAATTAAAGAATTTGATGAATTTCATTAGTCCAATAAAACATAATTACATCAAAAATCATGTAATGTTTACTATTTTTCCCTATAGAAAACATTTTCCTCAACTGGTTTGATATTTTTTCTCTATTCTATTTTTTTTTCTGAAAATCCCTCTCTTTTTTTGTTGTAAATTGTAATTGGAGCTTCAGTTCTGCCTCCTTTGTTGATTTAAATTCAATTCAAATTGGGGAATTTAATTGGGATTGAAATAACATTCTCAATTAAATTCTGAATATTGCACAACCCTGGTGTGTTTTAATTGTTGAACCTCTCTCTTTGTTCTTTGAAGTCTCATTGGGATGGCCTGACGGGACGGCTGTGCTTCAACAGAACTACAGGTCTGCGCAACGACTTTGATCTTGACATTGTGAGTCTTAAGGAGGATGGCCTTCAAAAGGTAAACCACCACACAAATACATAACAACTGTCTCGAATCAGACACAACATAACTCACAAACAAAGCACACATTGGATAATAATGCTATTGCTGTGTCTTCATGCTTTTTTGCATAGCAGGAGGGATAAAATGATCAAAAGCTGTTTTCTTCTGCTAATGCTCGCATGTTAAACAATGTGTACTAATTCACTTTTGTTTTGCATAGTCGATTATGCCAAAAACTTTCATGCTGACTAAGAACAAATGCATAATTGAAAAGATGAAGGATTGTTTCTTCCCTTAAATAACCTTCTGATCTTACAGTCTAGCATACTCAAACCTCTTGTACCTTGTCTCATTTGGTCACCATTGCTGTGCAAATAAAGAGCAATTTGTGTCTTACGTTTAATTTAGCTCCTAACAAGGAAGCAAATGAGGTGTTTAAACATAAGCATAAGTTAGTGGATCATAAAGCAAATTGGATTAGTGTACAAAGTACTGTTAATTACAAGCTTCCGTTAATGACCGGCTGAAGTTGCACATAGCATGCTTTTGTGCAGTAATGAGGTATGTAAGTATAGCTGCGCTCACTTTTGTGAGAAGAAGTGCGAGTAGTGCAAAATTAGCACTATTATTTTATTTATTAGTTGTCACACATTGGATACAAAATTTAAATTACACAAAGTGTGTTTGTGCAAACACTGTTAGAGAGGACAAAACTGTACTAAACTGCACCACAGAGCTGAAAAACAATGGTTAATCACGGTTATTGTGCTCAAAAAATATAATCCCGATTAGTAATTTTTTATTTAATTATTATTATAATTTTTTTTATGTTTCAGACTTAGATTACTAAACGTCTCTGTTACGTATGTAACCCTCATTCCCCGAGGGAGGGAACGGAGACGTCACGTCGGTGACCGACGAATTGGGATCTCGCTTAGAGAGACCAACCCACTTCGAGTGTAAACTAAACGAGCCAATGCACATTGGCATGCGATGATTGCATCCAGCTGCCGCTGATCACAGCGTGAGCATAAAAAGGCAGCCGGTGCAACGCATACCAGGTTTTCGCTGAGGAGCCGAGCCGAGCCGGTGACCCGGCCACTCAACAGTGGTACAGCAGCCGTGGTGAGGGACATCTCCGTTCCCTCCTTCAGGGAACGAGGCTTACATAGAGTGACTGACTGAAAGAGAACGTCTCGGTTACGTATGTAACCCTCGTTCCCTGAAGGAGGGAATGGAGACGTCACGTCGGTGACCGACGAATTGGGATCTCGCTTAGAGAGACCAATCCACTTTGAGTGTAAACTAAACAAGCCAATGCACATTGGCATGCAATGATTGCATCCAGCTGCCGCTGATCACAGTGTGAGCATAAAAAGGCAGCCAGTGCAACGCATACCAGGTTTTCGCTGAGGAGCCAAACTGCAGACCCGGCCACTCAGCGGTGGTACAGCAGCCGTGGCGACGGGGCGTGACGTCTCCATTTCCTCCTTTAGGGAACGAGGGTTACATACATAACCGAGACGTTCCCTTTCAGTCGGTCACTCCGAGTCACGTCGGTGACCGATGAATTGGGATCCCTACCAAAGCGCCATGGATGCTGCCCCTTCCAGTATCCTGTGCGAGCCGCCTGCGCCCCTTTGGGGTGTAGGCCGGGGCTCGCAACAAGAAGACCAGTCACTGTTGTCATAGCACTACCCACTTCAGTGAGACTGGATAACACTGGGAAAACGTACCCATTCCACTTGGAACAGGAACGTTGCGGAAGCCCCATCCTTTCCGAAGGAGGTTTCAAAAGCACTTACACATATGACATCCGTTTAGGTGCATATGGAAGATTAGAGGTGATTGTAACCCTCATGGAAATGGCAGAAGTCTGCCAGGGAAACACGGACTCTGAGGCTATACCGTGGACTTTACACATATGGGAATCACTTAGGCCTCTACATACGGAACCCAGCCATCTACCAGTTCTCACGGATTCAACGAGTGAGAGCCTGGCACTGGACGTTCCGCCATGTCTGGCTGCTGAGGGGACGGTGGTGCTCGACAGGGCCTACAGTATGGACACTCTGGAGCAGTTTTAGCAAGCCGACACTAAACCCGGGCCTCTTAGCGCTTCTACCAGTTTGAGGTGAGAACACAGGAGGATACCGGCTCCACACGAAGGCTATAGAATTTAGCGAACGTGTTGGGGGTCACCCAGCCCGCAGCTCTACAAATATCTGTCAGCGAGGCGCCACGAGCCAGCGCCCAGGAGGATGCAGCACTCCTAGTAGAGTGAGCTCGCAACCTGAGCGGGCAGGGCACACCCTGTGCCTGATAAGCCAGGGTGACGGCATCCACAATCCAGTGGGCCATCCTCTGCTTAGAGACGGCATTCCCCTTCTGCCAGCCTCCGTAACAGACAAAGAGCTGGTCTGAGGTCCTAAAACTTTGTGTCCGGTCTATGTAGCATCTAAAGGCTCGGATGGGACAGAGCAAAGCTAGGGCTGGGTCTGCCACCTCCGGGGGGCAGCGCTTGCAGGCTCACCACTTGATCCCTGAAGGGAATAGTGGGAACCTTGGGCACAAAGCCAGGCCGGGGCCTCAGGATTACCTGGGAGTCAGCCGGCCCAAACTCTAGGCATGAATCGTCGACTGAAAATGCGTGCAGGTCCCCTAACCTCTTAATGGAGGCCAGTGCAAGCATGAGCAGAGTTATCATTGAAATAAACTTTAGCTCGACTGACTACAAAGGCTCAAATGGGCCCTGCTGTAGTGCTTTGAGGTGAGAACACAGGAGGATACACACTCAACACAGGAATGACCACTGCTGAAGCGTCGTCTGCCAACACAAAAAGCTCCCGAGAGCGCGCTAGACTCGTCACACACGAAGCAGTTTGGTAGGAGCAGAACAATGTCACCGACGCGACTCGGAGTGACCGACTGAAAGGGAACTACATGTTTACCAGTGTTTTCAGCTAGATTTAAAAAAAATTATTGGGGGATTTAAACACTTGAGATCTGGCAACTGCAACAACTTGTAGAGCAGGGCTGTCCAAACTCGGTCCTGGAGGGCCGGTGTCCTGAAGAGTTTAGCTCCAACCCCAATTAAACACACCTGAACCAGCTAATCAAGCTCTCACTAGGCATACTAGAAACTTGAAGGCAGGTGTGTTGAGGCAAGTTGGAGCTAAACTCTGCAGGACACCGGCCCTCCAGGACCGAGATTGGGCAGCCCTGTTGTAGAGGCATGTTACAAATTTAAATAACAAATTCAAATGAACTGTTTTCAGGATAAATAACTGATTACATGAAAGAAAACAGTCTGGCTGTATAACACTTTTATTTGAGCAGAAACTCCAGCTTACATGTTAGCCTTTTTGGTCTTTTCAGCTTGTATGTATTTTTTCCCCATAATGTAGACTGAGTATGGGCACATGGTTGCCAGGTTAGGAAAGTTAAGTAAACCAATGGGCAGAAAATGTATCTCTGCTTTATGAGCTCTGATTGGGGGACTTAAAGGCTTGACATCTGGCAACCCACAACCATGAAATATTGTGAAAGCTTGTTACCAATGCATGATAATGCAAATTACAAATTGAAATGAAACATTTTCGGGATAACCAGCGGGCACATATTGCAAACAATTAATATACTGCTTAATAAACTGAGAGAGGCAGGAATCATGATCACAAATAAAATACGATTCATTGTGCAGCTCTACTGCACCAAACATCCCCACAAAACCTGTACTTTATCACCAACTCAAATCCAGTAGCGCATACATGCAAGATGATAAAATCCATATGTTTCTCTGTAGGGAAATCTAATGCAATTCCCAGTGACATGTACAGATTTATCTTAGTATACCACATATGTAACATTTTCTAGTAGACATTCAGAGAGATAAAAAGGATATTCATCTGCATTTTAGATTTGAATAAGTAGGTTTTGAGAAGGCCAAGAAAGTCTCCTGTCGGCAGTGTGAATAAATAATCGTGCCTTCCCCTGATAATCACTTTTAATTAATTGAGTTAATTGCAGTCAATTTGCAATAATGGGACATTATAAAGTGGCGTAGCATATCATTTGAAACATGCATCCCCTGAATTTGCACAATCTGTAACTAATACATGTGTCAGGTTTTGCATCAGGTGAGAGGTGTTATCGGGTGATGTTTGCACTTGCATAACTCTCTTGTGGCTTTATGAATATGAGAGCAGTAGTGGTGGTGCAGGAGAGGAAATTGCCGCACTCCCTCAGACAGAGATGGATATGGACAGCTATGAGGCCATTTGTAGTAATGATTTGTTGAGGAGTGACTGAACAATATGCAGGACTTCCTTTTTTCTCTCGCTGCAGGGGATTGTTTGTGCAAAACTAGCTTAATTTGCTCAGATTTGCTATGTGCTGATATTAGAGGGATTATTCACAGTACACCTATTTCAACTCCCTCTGCTGTCTGCCTCTTACTGTGTGTATGTTTGCTGTGTGTTTGTGTATGTGTGTTTGTACCTTAATTAATTGTAAGCATTTTTCGTTTCTAATATCCCTCGAGGCATATAGAACACTCAGGTTAAAATAGATTCATTGACTGATAATCAACTGGACTGGACTCACTGCAGAGTTAAACAAATTAGCTTGCAAGATGTAGCGAATCAGCTCATGGGGAAATATGAATAATTAACCATAACTAGTTATAATTAACTATTCATATTTTAGATCCACTGTAGATATTTAGCTGACCACTCAGGGTCAACCGTCTTGTCAATTCTAAGAACGTTAATTTCCTGGTTAAAGGAAATAACCTTCTTACTGCACAATTCTATAAGTTTGTAACGTAAATCTGCATGATTATTGACTCCGGTTATGAGTAAACAATGAACACATCAAGTGTATAACAAAAAGTTGTGTGTCTGATTGGTCCAAATGCTACAAAGATAATATTGACCAATATCTCTTGTCTTGAGTATAGTTGTATGATATATTTGGATAGTTTGGATAAGGTACGACCAGTTAATACTTATACAAATTTATATTTAATAATATACACACACGATAAAGATTAATTTTAAAGTGGAAGTAAAGCTCTCAGTCATGCTTACATTATTTAGTAAACTGATTTACATATTAATTAAAAAATGTATAACAAATATGATTAATGTAACCATTTTATAGAAAAAAGGGATGTTTTGTGATAGCTTTTGGAGCAAGGTCACTGCCACTGCTTCACTTCCACTTTAAACCAGAAACTTATTTTTTTCCCCAACTAACAAACATAGCCTCGAACATGCACAATTTGTCAACATGCAATTCAGAAACATTAGAACTCATTCAGAACCATAGATCTCATGTAATGGTGTTAAGTGTATGTTTAGACATTTTTACTGGAAAACAATACCAAAATAATGATTAGGATAAAGATCTATTTACAGTGCAACTTAGAAATGAACCAACTAGTGGCTTGTTTATAGTTGATGCTACATATTGATCAGGAATAGTTGATCACCAGAAGAAAAAAAAGTAACACTTTTACAATGTTATCAGATTATAATTTATACCATATGTTCTGCTTTTTCCTTTGTTCGACATTTTCTTTCCGCAAAATTGAATTGAAAAGCAATCTCCTTTGGTGCAATTGCCCTTCCTCTATGTTAATGTATTCAGAGTGTATGCAAGGGCCTAGCTACTCATGAGCCCAAGCACAGACCTATTGGCATAAAAACAGAAGAGCCAATCAACTAATGCTTCTGGATGAGCTCAGCACAGGGCTGCTAATGCAGTCAGATGGGCTATTGCGATGTGGATGGGTCACACAGGTAAGTGAAACATGCTCTGACTACATAAATTTCATCTTTTCTAGGTGGGGAAGTGGAGTACATCTGGGGGGCTGAACATCACAGAGGTCTCCAGGCAGAACGGCATGAACATCACTGACTCGCTTTCCAACCGCTCACTGGTCATCACCACCATCCTGGTAAGGTCATCGAGAGGCTATGTGTGAAGGAGAGCGCTCTTTCTGTCTCCAGCTTTATCATTCTGCATCTAATTTACTCTTTCTCCAAATTTCACTATCTTTTCTAGTGTGCTTTACCTTGTTTCAGGTCAGCGTATGGGCTGATTTTCAAGCAATGAAACGCACATGCTCCAGATTCTCATTTCCTCTCACAGAAATGCCAAATAGCTCTGTCCCTTTCAGTGTCTCAGTCCTTGAAATAAATTGACCTGGCTGAATCAACAGCACAAGATGTCTTCCCCTGTTTGAAACAACGTTTGAGGCTCAACCATCTCCCATGACTGCTTTAGTAAGCAGAATAACAATTCTGAATTGAAGACAGTACCAGCTCTCAACACAGTTTGCCTATTTGAAATAGGAAATGTAACTTAGTACAATTAATATTTAAATAAATGTTCATTACTTTTATTTTCCTCCTGTACATGGAAGTGAGCATTCGAGGTAGCCCCAGGTGCTACTACTTGCAATGTGATTCATCAAAAGTCATAAGTCTTTCTTATGAATTTTGATGAAAAAAAAAAATTTCCAAATTATGCATATGGAGATATATTAGTTCAAACAAGAAAATTTGTATTTTATTTATTTTTTTGTTTGTTTATGTTTGCACTGTAACTTGACATGAAGTCTTGAGGCCCGTTCACACCATGGAGGGTAAATACCATAATATAAGCATAACAATACCATAATATGTTTGCAGATATTTAGGAGACATGCAAAAAAACAATGCTACAGCCAGGTATTCTACTTTGAAATGTGTGATCCATGTCGGAATCTCTGTTTTTGTTTTGGTCTCTGTGACTCCGCCCACTGCCAGTTTTCCCAAAAGTATTTAGACACCCCGAGTTGCCAGTTGGCAACACAGTGTATTGCAGCCATTGGAAGCCAGCAAATGAACTGTGTTAGAAATTGCATTCTACCTGACCTAAAATTCCTCTGTGTCCATTTAAAAATCTTCATGACCGGAGAAATATTCACTTGTTGCCTTCCACTGTAAAACGCGCTCTTTCCTGATGTGTGTCCTCAAACTGGCAACCCGCATGAGCATTTAAAGAGCTTTAGCTTTAAAAGGGTTAGACATGAGAGTAGCTTATAATTTGGTGGCCTTTTGGTGGAAGATGGTGCTAGGAAAAAAAAAAAAAGTTTTATTAAAACACATTTTATACCAACTATTAAAAAATAGCACATACTGAACTTATTTGCGAAATGGTTTAGTGCAGACTGTGGTAGACAATGTCTAGGCATATGTTAAATGGGAAAAAAAGCAATATATATGTGGAAGTAACTTATTTTCGGTGAATATGCAAGACTTCCATTTCTTTTGTCTCTATAGGTGAATAACTAGATGAATTACAAAGAGCAGTAAATGGTAAAACTATTTGCCCTACAAACGACAGTAATGCGTTTATGATTATGATAGTAATTTAACATAACATGATAACAAATATTAGTTTGCAATAGCAAGCAGCATAATGGGTTTTGTTCAACTAAAATACCTGGATACGAATGACACCAAGCTTGTGAATTGTGAATTCAAGTCACAAATGGCTGTGCCCATGCTTAGGTTAAGGCGGATAGAAGTATAAAGTATGTTATGTGGAATCAGGACACTGTCATATAAAATGTTACCATTGTTACTTGCTTAATTTGATTGAACATTATGATTGACAGCCCTACAAATAAGTAATAAGCTTGAAAGGCTAACCCTTGCACAGGTACTTTAAAAATGCAATCAGCGCACTTATTGGATAATGCCACTGACCCATTCTAATTTGGTTTCTCTCCATAGGATATTTACTATAGACATGTGGCCTTAACGTATACAAGCAGATGCATGCTGAGTGAAATTATGCTTTACCCAATGTCATTTGCCAGATAATAGCACAAATGACACGTCTTAAAATAAATGTGTGCCCATTCAACACTGCATTCTCACAGATGCCCCGAGGGCTGCATTTATGCATGTCCCAGGAATGTTTCGGGATTTTGTGGTACTGACAGCAGCTTCTGTGGACTTATTTTGGACAGGCAGATGAGTTATCAACAGGGATAAACACTGTCATTAAATGTGGATTGAGCTGCAAGGCTATAATTATGAGTTAAGGTCTTGATAGGATATAATCAGAGATTTTCTAGTACCATGCAGTGGTCCTGGGTATTGTTATCTTAAGATAGTAACCACGTATTTATTTATTTTTAAGGCATTAAATAGGGGTATTGAATAAGGGTCACTTTAAAGTGACACGATTTTGAATGCAAATGAAGAATAACGCGTCACACATAACACTTATGACAAATATAAATTATGATGTAACATCCTGAAGGCTCACTGACAACAACAACTTTCAGAAAAAAAATGCAAACAGGTGCTGAGATTGCCTACGTCTAATTTATGGGCCTTGGAATATAATATGATCATATGATTGCATCAGCTGACAATTAAGAAGCCCAAAACGGTTGTCTAATGTCATCGCTCAAATGATGGAGGCATCATATAGCACTTCCTTGCTATGATTTAACAGATTGTTTCAAACTTCAGTCTATGTAACTGGTTCATTTCTGTCACTGCTCATACAGGAAAAGAGGGAGAAGGTATTAAAAAAAAAAAAAAAGAACCTTAGGGAATTTTACAGATTGCGGGCTTAGAACAGATGGTAACTGTTATAGTTGATTTTTTTTTTTTGGCCACACAAACTTTTTGATCGAGATAATTGGACAACTTGTACAGCGTTTTGTTTCATTCTACATCCATTCAATCCATGGCTCATGGTTTCATCTAAAACAGGCTGACACCTAAAAAATGTTTTATATTAAAATTTTATAAATAACTTTATTTTCTGATTAGATGTGTTGCATGTCAACAATTTATGATACTTACATATAGCTTAATTGTTCTTATATATTTGTTTGGGGACTGGGGCTAGTTGTCACACTTTTAACTCCAATGAATATTCCCCAGTCAGTGCATTTAAAAAAAAAAATGTATAGGCACATTTTAAATATGCTTATATTATGGATACTTATTAGATGAGATGTTATTGACAGACAAAATAACAATTAATAAAAAAAAAACACTAATTATTTGTGACAAAATTTGACAGTAAACAATATATAATGATATAAAGCAATTCATAAAAAAAAATGGAAATTGATGTGGGATACAGTTTAGGGACATATTTGGTCTTATGGTTAGGTTTAAATGTGGGTTTAGGTGTAGTTGTAGGGTAATTACAGATGTAACTACATAAATTATAGATGTAATTACAAGAAGGTATTTTCAATATGAGTACAATGTAAAAAAAAACATGCATGTACACAATAACTGCATTGTATCAAATTATACATTTAAATGTAAGTGCATAGTAGTTAGAGACACTTAATATAAAGTAGGTCCGAATTTGTGTAATGGGACTATTTATGTAATTGACTCACACGTAATACTGTTACTGAGAGTGCTGACATAGCCCTTGTGAAAATTCTCCTGTATGGCAACTAATCCTGGTCTCTCAAATAAATAGTTTATTTTACAGACTTTTCAGAGTGCACAGATCTCCGATCTTGACAGATCCCACTTTAAATATTGTTCACAACACTCTAAAGCATCTATTATTATTAAGAAGCCTGGACAGGGCATATAATTGCAATGAAACAGATTCTCCAATTCAGTTCAAGGATGAACGTGCATGGCATGAACGCTAGTCCTGTTTTCAGCTGCCAGCTGAGTACTTTGGATTTTCTGTCTGGCTAGAATTGTGTCATTTTGGCTTTTCTAGCTAAAATTGAAAATGCTGTCAGGGATAGAAGGATGTCACAGAATGTTTGAAACACACAGATAGTGAAGGTCACCTTGAGAGAGTTTGATCAGAAGCACCG